ACCCCCTGCCTTGGGGCTCTTGGTTAAGTAAAGGCTAGAGATAAAGTCTCGATAAAAATACTCATCATGGGCAGATGTTAAATGCATCCCGCTGCTGTCTTGTAGAAGGCCTCCTCAGCAAAAACTTAAGGGATAAACAGATTCTATCTGTTGACCAGCCTCGCACCCCTTCTCCATCTATTAGGCTGGCGCAGATGTATTTTTAATACATTGTTTCCAGTAGGATGTTGAACGCTGGATCTTCTTGACTCGATGCATGGGTTTTGCTTGTGTCTCTGTTTTTATGACTACGCAACTCATTCTATTATCTCCAAATGAGGGTACAGCTCTAAAACTCAGTTTTATGGTTCTGAGGCCGGCTAGTAGTCAGGTTTACCGAACTTTGTGGTAGCTCTAAGAGAGGCTGATTCCATCAACAGCTGAAAAATATCAGAGTACTAACAGTGCCATGTTGCGCATGGATGGTGTCCCTGTTTGTAATTTTGGTGTGCATTCCCGAGGCCACATTGGAGCCCTTTGTTACGGCTTAGGGTTTATTAGTGGAAATGAGGCAATTGATTGAGCTATAAAACAGTGCACTGAGTACTATCTATATTTCGAGTCAAGTTCTTTAACAAATTTAAAAATGAATAAAGTAACAAAAACTATAAAACACAAAAAACCACAGTCATCACCAAGTTCGCTAAACCTAACATTCACCAATATTCGTGGTCTTCGAAGTAACTTTTCTTCTGTAGAGTCTTATCTCTTGCAAAGTTCACCAGACCTACTTGCTCTTTGTGAGACTAATTTGAGTTCAGCTGTCTCATCTTGTGATCTTAGTGTTGATGGTTATCTTCCTTTAATTTGTAAAGACTCCAATAGTCACAGGCTTGGTCTAGCCATATACATTCGTAAGAATTCACCCATTTGTCGGGAAACTAGGTTTGAATCCACAGACTACTCTTTTATGTGCTTTTGTTTAGCACCACTTCACTCTATCACCTTTCTCTTTGTTCTATATCGCTCTCCTTCATCTCAAGACTGCACTCTTCTTGATGTTATTTTTGATTATATTGACCAAGCCCTCATTCTTTATCCATCAGCCGATATTGTTGTTGTTGGTGACTTTAATGTTCATCACACTGAATGGCTTGGCTCTAGTGTCAGTGACTCTGCAGGCATTAAGGCCCACAACTTTTGCCTTTCTCAATCTCTAACTCAAATAGTCAACTTTCCAACTTGCTTTGCAGACAACCCGAATCATTTACCTTCTCTACTTGACTTATGTCTTGTTTCTGATCCTAGTCAGTGCTCAGTTTCTCCACACTCACCCTTAGGTGCTTCTGATCATGGTTTGGTCTCTCTAAAACTATTATCTCATTCTTCTTTACCTCCCTATAATCCCCCTATCATCGTACATCTTACAACTACCTTAACGCTAACTGGGACTCTTTCCGTGATTTTCTTCGTGATGGCACCTGGGTAGAAATCTTTCGCCTCCCTGTTGACAAAAGTGCTTCTTACATAACTTCATGGATTCGGGCTGGCATGGAATCCTTTATTCCCTCTCGACGATTCTAGGTCAAGCCTCACTCTTCTCCATGGTTTTTCTCACATTGTGCTGCTGCTAATCGAAACCATTACTTCCATATCTATCAGCAAAACAATTCTCCAGAATACAGACGTCTGTTTATTACTGCTAGGAACCATTGTAAAAAGGTTTTGTCTAACGCCAAAGCCCACTATTCTCAGAACATGAAATCTCGTATTTCATCACAAAAATTAGGCTCTCCTGACTTCTGGAGAATCTTTAATAGTATCAATAATAAGGGCAAGTCTGTAATTCAACCTCTTTTGTACGGTTCAGACTTTGTCACCTCACCTAAAGACAAACCTGAATTGTTTGCCAAGAACTTTTCATCAATATTATCTCTTGATTCCACTAGTTGCGTTCTACCTAATATAGCCGTCAAACAGGTTGATCCATTACTTGACATCCGTATCACTCCAGCTTCTGTATCTAAAGTGATTTCCTGCTTAGACTCTTCTACAGCTTGCAGCTCGGACAACATACATGTTATAGTTTTGCAGAAGGGTTCTCTGGAGCTGTCATCTATCCTTTCAAAACTATTATACAAGTGCTTATCAGAGTCTTGTTTTCCAGCCTGCTGGAAAGCAGCATCTGTTATCCCTATTTTTAAAAATTCTGGAGAGCGATCTGATTCGTCTAACTACTGTCCTATTAGTCTTCTTCCTATCATAAGCAAGGTTTTTGAATCTTTAATTAACAAACACTTAATCTCTTATCTCAAATCTCATAACCTACTTTCTGATCATCAATATAGATTTCGACCTTCTCGTTCTACAGCTGATTTGCTAACAGTAATAACCGATAGATTTTATCGCGCATTAGATAAAGGTGGAGAGGTTAAGGCCATCGCTCTTGACATTTCTAAAGCGTTTGATAAAGTTTGGCATGCTAGTCTTCTCCATAAGCTTTCTTCTTACGGTGTATCTGGAAACATCTTTAAGATTATCGAATCCTTCCTTTCCAATCGTAGTATAAAAGTTTTCCTTGATGGACAGCACTCTTCTTCTAATTCTGTAACCTCAGGGGTTCCTCAAGGTTCAATCCTTGGCCCTATACTCTTTTTAATTTACATTAACGATCATCTAGATTTTCTCACATCTTCGGTGGCATTGTTCGGTGATGATAATACCATTTATTCTTGTCACGATAAGAAGCCAACTCCCTCTGATCACTTGCAGGGGGCATATGAGCTTGAAAAGGATCTCACTATTGCTACAGCATGGGGTTCACTGTGGCTGGTGAACTTTAATTCAGATAAAACTTAATTTTTTTCAGCCAATCGTTATCGCAATAATTTAGACCTTCCTATATTTATGAATGGTAATGTACTCGATGAGTCTCCTACCCTTCATCTTCTAGGATTAACTCTTACTTCTGATCTTTCTTGGAAACCTTATATCAAATCCGTTGCAAAATTAGCATTTGCTAAAGTCGCTTCTCTTTATCGAGCTTGTCACTTTCTTACTCTGGATTCTATTCTCTATCTCTATAAATCTCAAATTCGGCCTTGTATGGAATACTGTTGCCATATCTGGGGTGGATCTTCTAATGATGCCCTTTCTCTTTTAGACAAGGTGCAAAAACGCATTGTAAACATAGTTGGACCTTCTCTTGCAGCCAAACTTCAACCTGTCACATCGTCGTAATGTTGCTTCTCTTTCTCTTTTCTACAAATACTATAATGGGCACTGCTCTAAAGAGCTAGCGTCTCTTGTGCCATCTACAAAAATTCATTCTCGTGTTACTCGTCATTCAACTAAGTCTCATCCTTTTTCTGTTACTGTTCCTAAGTGCTCCAAAAACTCTTATTCGTCTAGTTTTTTTCCTTGAACATCAGTTTTTTGGAATTCGCTTCCTTCATCTTGCTTTCCTGATTCATATAACTTGCAATCTTTTAAGTCGTCTGTCAATCGTTATCTTCATCTTTTCTCTTCCAGTAACTTCCAACACTAATTAGTGGTTACTTGCAGCCTTGTTGGAAGGGAAGATGTTAAAAACATAAACAATAAAAAATTAATAAATATATATATATATATATATATATATATATATATATATATATATATATATATATATATCACTATCTGATAGACCCTGCTTTCTATTTATAGGGTTAGCTTTGACAGCTATTGTTATTTTTTTTAATTTAAGAATACTTTTAAAGTTCTTTTTTCGTCTAACAGTTAATAAATATTTTTAAATCTATGGAATAATTTTAAAACCTAACAAACCCCCGTAAAATAATTATTTAAGTTAAAAATCTAAAAGAAAGTATTTTTTATAGACAACTTTGCTATTGCTGAATAATTTTATTAAAATGCTGGCTTAAAAAGATTTAAACTTTTTTTAACCTAAATTTTTTCTACTTGTAAATAAGGAGCATATTTAATTTTTTTGTAATTCAAACTTTTATATTTTTTTATGCGGTTTTTAAAATACTTTATTAAATGTTAAAATAATTGTAAATTACTTCATTAAAATTCCGCTCAAAAATATCTTTAAATATACTCAAACAAAAAATTTTTTGCTCAACGCAAATAGCCCTAGCTACACGCAAAATTGCTCTTGGACAACGTAAAATTCACATCGCCCGACGCTTTATCGCAAGGCCTGTTATATATATATATATATATATATATATATATATATATATATATATATATATATATATATATATATTAATATATATCAAAGTAAGGATTTTTAACATTTTAAGACATGAAAAGATGTAATGTGAAATTTCAGGAAATCTTATATATTGAACATAGATTTGAGTTTGTTAAATTTATTTTCAGATAAAAAAAATCCTTATCACAACAGACGATGGAGACGAGACAATCGTTATGCATGATAATAAGATTACTTTACGAAGTTTCTGATGCTGTGATTGGACTTATCGGAATACACTATGTAATGAACATGGATTATGACGCCCATGTCATGATGACATACACAATTTACATAATACTTTACACTTACATTATATTAAGAATATTTAAATAATATAAATAAATTACTTAAATTTGTTGTTATAAATTACTTTTGTTACAAATAATTGGAAAAATTTTATATAAATCTGTACTGTTCTTATTTTGTCTCGTATATGTTTTTTCCTTATTCTCAGGATTAGACATAAACAAATAAACAACTTTCAGAATTGGATAAGTCTAGTAACTGTTGAACTGAAATAACCTTTAAAGAAATGGTTGAGCAAAACAATTATCTTTTGTTGATGATCTCATTACTAAATCACCTGCATAACTGTGATTTTAAAATTTTAAATTTTAAATCACATCTACACAGGTGATTTAGTAATTTAGTAAAAAATAAATAAGATAATGAAAATTGTAAACAATTTCCCTTTTGGAAATATATTTTATTTTGAATTAAATGACAAAATTGTAAAAATTTACAAAAAATGAAAAACCTTCTTTTTTATTTTCCAACCATGTTCCCTCATACATATCACCATTTCCATATTTCATGACACCCTCACCATTTATTTCTCCAAAATCAAATAATCCGACAAAAAGATTTTTGGAATGAGCCCAATATCGTTCTCCACGTCCATGAATTTCTCCATTAAGAAAACATCCTTTATAATAGCTACCATCCCTCATAAAAAAGGTTCCGCAACCTAATTTTTAGACACATTATTATATAACTCATTACTAAACATAACACATTATTATACAAACATTATTAAATATGTAAAGAGTTTTTAGCAATATATACTTTAGAATTTGTCATTAACTTTTACCTTGTTTAACCCCCTGAAACCAGTCACCTTCATACTTGAAAAATGAATTCATATAGCAGTAAACACCAATTCCTAATAAAAAAGAGAATAAGAAAAGATAAAAATAAGAAAGTACAATAAGATTTTGTAAAATAAAACAATAATAAATTAAAACAGGTTTCAGGGCTCTAGCTAGATAGTAAAAATTAAATATTTAAGAAAGTTAGTGAAAATTGTATACTGCTTACAATTGAAATATTTCACTTTTCAAACCTAATACATTTTATCAAGTTTCTGGAAAAAGTCAAAACTTAATTACAAAATCTCTGCACAAACAAACAATTTTGTTTTAATATATAATGACTTGCTGAATGAAAACAAAGCAGGATGTAAAAGAAGAATAATGAGAGAATATATTACATAAGGATATAGGAGAATTGTTTTATGAACAAAGCAATTTAGACAGTTTGTCCAGACAAAAATGAATACTAAAAAAAGAGCAATACTAATTAAATTAATTTAAAGTTTTAAATACACAAAGCACATAAAAAAATATAGAATAAAGGCTGTTTATGAGCTTTGTGTATATCTAAGATTGCACTTATGGCTTTTCTAAGCAATCTAAAAACAATAACTTTCTGTATAGACTAACATATATGGTTTTGTTATCAGCAAATAAATTTTAGTTGTAAAATCATCAGTAATATCAATAGCATAGTTGAGGAACAACGCAGGACCAAAGTTATGGCATTGTGGTAGCCTAGAAGTTTTTGGAAACAAAAGTCAAACATGAAAAAAACTTATCCAGATATACCATATGAAAAATGCCTATAGAGGTGACCAGTATGACAGACCTTAATAAACACAGTTATTTTGTCAAGCGCAATAGTTATTACCTAACTGCTTTTATCTAATGTATCATATCTTTTCTGTTAAAATAGTTAACAAGTGGCCAGGTTTTTTTACAAAATTGGAACAATCAGATGCAATCCAGATTTTATGACAAATAGGTGAATTAAAACATCGATAATTTCATATAAAAACAAGATGGTCATACCATTCACCTATCAAATTTTCTTTAAATTTTAACCACTGGTACATATTAATAAAAGAATAGTTAGGACTTTTTTAAATTCAGCTTAAATTATACTTCTTTTGAACAAGTTTGACATTATGGCTTTTTTAATTGTATTTTTTTATGAATAATTTAAGGTCTAGTGGAAGAATATAGCTCAAAATTAATACTATGTTGTTTTTAAAGGTGATGAATTTGAAAACTTATAGTGAAAATAATGCAACTTAAATTTTTTGATTTCAACTTTGAAATGGTCAGTTAAATTTTCTGTTCAACTTTTTTTCAAATGGAATAGGAGATTTTAGGGTACCATTATTAAAAAAAAAGTTTTTATCACTTAAAGCATAATAAAGATGTCATTTTAAAATTTAAACAATAAATTCCTTTTTTTAGCTCACATTGTTTATTGTAGACTTTATAGCTTTACTTTTTGTGTGATCAATTTAAGTTCTAGCTGATGAATAACTGTAAATTGACCATTATAATTGTAAACTGTAAATTGACCATTGTAATTGGAGAATATGACTGTAAATAAATATTAACTATCATTAAAGTATACCTAAATACCAATGTTTTTACTTAAATGTGGTAATAGAATAAATATTTTATTAACACGGTTAACCCATGTCAATGAAATGTTTTACTAATTTCTAGAGTGGCCTGAATTATGAACTGAACAGACTCTCATTGTGAACTCAAGTGGTTTTTGAAAAGTTTAGCTCTCTAAACGAAAGATAAAAAATATATTGCTCTTCTTAACTCTGATATTTATACTCAATAGTTTTGAAATATAATTAGCATTATAATACTTTGAAAATATATTTTATTTATTTATTAATTACAATAATTTAATTAATGTCTAATAATTAGGTATTGTTTCAGAAAATTACGTGGTACTGATGTCCAGAAGATATTGATGGTATTTTGACAAGAAAAATGACAGTCGTTCCTGATCCAGCATGACTAACAGTATGACTAATTTGGATAGACTGGAGACTATAAAATCATCATTCTCTTTATCAACTTTAGAAACCATATCAAGCCAAAAAAATTCATTACATTTGCAAAATAGGTATTGCCACATTATAACATAGTTGATCTTTTTAATTTCATATTGTTGTTAATTGTGGAAGTCAAATTTTAGAGCATAAACATTATCATTAGATACCCTTTTAATCTATATAATTGAAGAAGAAGAAAGTACAAATTGATTAAAACTTCTTGTCAGAGGAACCATAAGCAATAAAATAAAAATATTAGTTGCACAAAAATTAATAGGAACCATCACCAGTGGCGTACAACTATTTTTTAGAAATAAAGAAAAATTTTGAAACAAAAAGTATTTTTATACTTTTTAATTTCTTAAAGAGAAAATAAAAATTGAAGAAATTTGTAAAAAAAAAATTATTTAATATATTTTTGAATAGATTTTCCTTTCTCTTTTTTTTTTTTGAACTCATGCTTTATATAGATCTTTGTTTTAAAGTAACTTATCAAACACAGGAATACAACTGAATAAGAGCAAACTTTTATAAGTGCAAATCAGTTGCAAAAACTGGCTTAAGTGCAAATTGGTATTAGTGCAAACTGGCTTAAGTACTTTAAAAGCATAAGTGGGAGCTGGAATAAGTTTGTCTAAATTTGCAAACATAGGCATAAGTAGGGTTGCCAAACGTCCAGCTTTTACGAAGGAGAACACAGTAAAAAAAATTATTTTTACAGGTTTGGCGCTGTATTCGCCTTTGTAAAAGCCAGAGGTCTGGCAACCCTAGGCATATTGGAGAATTAGCATAAGTGCAAACTGTCATTAGTGCAAAGCATAAATTTGCTTAGGTGACCTGGCAAATGTATGCTAAAAAAAACTAGCATAAACACACTAAAAGAATTTGAAAACACTGGCATTGGATTTGTACTTATGCCAATGTTTGCAAATTCTTTTGGCGCACTTATGACAGTTTGCACTTATACTAGTTTTTGCAACTGCTTTGCACTTACACCAGTTCACATTTATGCCAATGAATGCAAATTTATTTGGTGCACTTATGAAAGTTTTTGCAACTATTTGGCACTTATGCCAGTTCATACTTATGCTGATGTTTATAAATTCTTATGGTGTTCTAATGCCAATGCGCACTTATGCCAATTTGCACTTTTGCAAATGGCATAAGTGCACATTGGCACTTTTAATGGATTGAAAAAAACTTCAAAAGAAATTCTAACACTATTTTAAAAATAAACAAAAACAACTTGAAAACATTAACTCTACTATGATTATGTGCGCCTCAAACAGTGTGAAAGTTTTTTTTTAACATATAATAAATGAATTCATTTTAGAATGGCCGAACGCCAGATTTATACATTTTAAAAAGACAATAAGACAACAGATTTTAGCATGTTTTGAAATATTAAAGAGATACCAAACCTCCAAAACATGTTGCAGAATGTTAACAAAAATTGTTAAGGCAAAAATTTTTTGATTAAAATAAAAGAATAAATGCATACCAAGAAAAACGTTTTATTCCAAAGAGTTTTAGTATATGACGTCGTTGATTTTTTTACTTGTTTAAAAGATCTTTTTTTTTTTTTTTATTTAACAATCATTCTCTTTAATATAATTTCAGTATAATGTAAAAAAAACTAAATTAAAAAAAAAAAAGAACATTAAAAAACAACATAACCCAGTTATCACTTACAACTTAATTACAAATTAATTATAGGTTAATTTTCTGATTATCTAAAACTGCCTGAATTAAGCAGTTTTCAATGAAATGTGCACATTTTAAACTCAATATAATTCCAAAATAGCCTTTTTGTAATCACTCACATTTTTTCTTCAGAGATCAGAAAGTGACTCAAAACTGATACCCCTTGAACCTACAACCTACCTGCAGAATGAAACCTACCACAATTATTTGAATAAATAATAGATCATTAATTACCCCCTTATTCAACAAGCTATCAGTCCAAGTTAAAAGGTGCTGGTGTCAGGTAACTATTTTAAGCGTTGCTATTTATTCAAATGTGATTTTTTATAATAAATTAAGATAATTTTTAAAATTGCATATGAAGTAGATAAATTAAAATTCATTTATTATTTTTAACCAAATTGATATTAAATTTCTTAAAAATAAGGTCTTTGTCATTAAATGCACTTATTTATAAGCAAAAAAGTAATATATGTACTTATTTTTAGAAATATTTTTGAATTTGTATAATTAAAACTTTTGTATATAGCAAAACAAACTTTAGATATAGTTTTTTGACAAGAAATTATATCTTTAATTGCAGTAATAAAGGACTGCAGCTAATATATTTTTATATTAAAAAAAATCTAAACTAACCATGTCGCATACCCTTCTTTGTTTGACCACAAAAGCCCTCTTGATCAACATTAACCTGATTGCTATTCTCTCTATTTTGCTTCAAGAGACTATAACAATTTTCCATAGAAATTTTTTTAATAACGTATCTTTTGAAATAACAACTTTTTGAGTTACTGCAAGATAAATAAAGTTTAAATCATTACTATTTTTTTAAAATATATTGCATTTATTTTTATATTCAATAACAAATAAACAAAATCTCTCTCTCTCTCTCTCTCTCTAAATATATA